GTATCACTGGTGATGGGACCAGCAGCATCCCGTGGTTCCCATCTCCGGCTGCTCGGCCCCATCGCCACCCTCTGGTTCTCCTGGGGTGGGTTTGGTGTGGCTGGGGCTGGGCGCACTTCCTGCTGCTGCTCGGCTCTGCGGGAGTTTTGCTTGGCCTGCCGTGTGCTTTCTGAGAGTGTTTGCAGGCACTCCTCCCTGGACCTGCTGGCCGCTGCTGTGTGACCTCCCTGTCCTGGGGTGTGTTGTGTTTCTCCCCTCCCACAAGGTTCATTCTCTTCCAGCCGCTCCAGACCCGGTGCCCCAGCTGCAGGGCGTTCAGGAGCAGGCAGGCAGTGCCCAGCCATGTGGCTGCCCAAAGCCTTTTGATCTCAAAGAGCCGGAGCCGTGCCAGAAGGGGCTGGCAGGAGGCTGAGCTGCCCACGACCTTCTCCCTGCCACGGTGTGAGGGGCGCCGCATCCTCAGCCTGAGCGGCCCAGCCCTGCTTATCCCACGTCTCTCTCCCCGTGCCAGAGCAGGGGATGGATGTTCCCCTGGGTGCATCCCCTCTGCTCTTCCCCTTCTGCAGGAGCTGCGTGGGGAAGGGCCCTGGCAGTCCTTGAGTACCATGGAGACCGAAGCCTCTTATCTGCTCCTTATCAGGACAGCCCCGCCAGGCCCTGCTGAGTCAGGGTGCAGGAACGTGGCACCCGGCCAGGCTGCGCCCAGCAGAAGCGAGGTGCTGAGCACCAGCTGGGCCAATGGAGCTGCAGGTCCTGCCGCTGGGAGCCCTCAGTGCTGCTGTGTGTAAAGAAACCTGCAGGGTCTTGTCTCTAATCCTTTCCTGGATCTGCTCCCATGCGCAGCACAGGACCTGCTGTGACAGGCATGTCTGACATTTGCAGAGCGCCTTCGGTCCCTGTGAGCGCTGGGCACGATGGCAACGCGCGGTGGGGATGGAGCGGGCGGCGAGCAGCGCGTGCAGCGCTGGGAAGGGTGCATGGGGGGAGGAGGACAGGAGCTCAGCGGAGGCAGAGCAGCGCTAACAGAGCTCTGGACTTTGGCACAGCTCGGTGTGGCTCACCAGGAGGGAGGAGGTGACAGTGGTGTGCCTGCAGCCGGGGGCTGCCATGCGTAGGGCTCACCCCCAGCCCTCCCTTCGCCTGCTGTCTGCCCGTGCTCTGTGTAGGCCATTCCCGCCTGGATCCGGCTCCCAGCTCAGACAGTGTTTGCCTTCAAACCTGTTTGGTGGCTTCTCAGGAGGGGCCGAGCGCAGGTGGGGACGCAGCAGGAGGCCCGGTGCAATGGGCTGGGAGCTGCACTGCACTGCCTGCCAGCTGTATGGGGCTGAGGGACGGAGCAGCCCAGGAGGGACCGCGGCTTCCCAGTGTGTTGTGTGACCGGAGCTCAGACTCTGTGCTTTTGTGGCTCAGCTTGTCCCCATTTCATTGCTGTGCTTCTGCCTGACAGCAGCTGTGGACCACAGCCCTCCCCCAGGTGGGGTTTCCCATCCCATCCCATCCCATCCCATCCCATCCCATCCCATCCCATCCCATCCCATCCCATCCC